TCGCACACGACATTTTTGTAAACGACATCTGGGCGGTTAGACGAGTAAAGCTGAATCCACAGTTGGAACATTGTGTCCATTTTTTTTCTTTTTAAAATCGTCTTTTACACAAATTGGCCATCGTTATTAGGGAAATACGTTTTTCTTCATGTAGTCCTAGTACTTTCGTGTGCCACATGTTTTTGGGTTGGTCTAGCCCTTTGACAGTTAAACAGCTGTTTTTCTGTCTAGCCCCTAATGTCTATCCCCTAATGTCTAGCCCCTAATGTCTAGCCCCTAATGTCTAGCCCCTAATGTCTAGCCCCTAATGTCTAGCTCCTGATGTCTAGCCCCTAATGTCTAGCCCCTAATGTCTAGCCCCTAATGTCTAGCTCCTGTCTAGCCCCTAATGTCTAGCCATGTCTATCCCCTGATGTCTAGCCCCTAATGTCTAGCTCCTGATGTCTAGCCCCTAATGTCTAGCCCCTAATGTCTAGCCCCTAATGTCTAGCTCCTGATGTCTAGCCCCTAATGTCTAGCCCCTAATGTCTAGCCCCTAATGTCTAGCTCCTGTCTAGCCCCTAATGTCTAGCCCCTAATGTCTAGCCCCTAATGTCTAGCCCCTAATGTCTAGCTCCTGTCTAGCCCCTAATGTCTAGCCCCTAATGTCTAGCTCCTAATGTCTAGCCCCTAATGTCTAGCCCCTAATGTCTAGCCCCTAATGTCTAGCCCCTAATGTCTAGCCCCTAATGTCCAGCCCCTAATGTCTAGCCCCTAATGTCTAGCTCCTGTCTAGCCCCTAATGTCTAGCCCCTAATGTCTAGCCCCTAATGTCTAGCTCCTAATGTCTAGCTCCTAATGTCTAGCCCCTAATGTCTAGCCCCTAATGTCTAGCTCCTAATGTCTAGCTCCTAATGTCTAGCCCCTAATGTCTAGCCCCTAATGTCTAGCTCCTAATGTCTAGCCCCTAATGTCTAGCTCCTGTCTAGCCCCTAATGTCTAGCCCCTAATGTCTAGCCCCTAATGGCTAGCCCCTAATGTCTAGCCCCTAATGTCTAGCCCCTAATGTGTAGCCCTTAATGTCTAGCCCCTAATGTCTAGCCCCTAATGTCTAGCCCCTAATGTCTAGCCCCTAATGTCTAGTCCCTAATGTCTAGCTCCTAATGTCTAGCTCCTAATGTCTAGCCCCTAATGTCTAGCTCCTAATGTCTAGCCCCTTATGTCTAGTCCCTAATGTCTAGCTCCTAATGTCTAGCCCCTAATGGCTAGCCCCTAATGTCTAGCCCCTTATGTCTAGCCCCTAATGTCTAGCCCCTAATGTCTAGCTCCTAATGTCTAGCCCCTAATGTCTAGCCCCTAATGTCTAGCCCTTAATGTCTAGCCCCTAATGTCTAGCCCCTAATGTCTAGCCCCTAATGTCTAGCCCCTAATGTCTAGCCCCTAATGTCTAGTCCCTAATGTGTCGATCTAATGTCTAGCCCCTAATGTCTAGCCCCTAATGTCTAGCCCTTAATGTCTAGCCCCTAATGTCTAGCCCCTAATGTCTAGCCCCTAATGTCTAGCTCCTAATGTCTAGCTCCTAATGTCTAGCCCCTAATGTCTAGCTCCTAATGTCTAGCCCCTTATGTCTAGTCCCTAATGTCTAGCTCCTAATGTCTAGCCCCTAATGGCTAGCCCCTAATGTCTAGCCCCTAATGGCTAGCCCCTAATGTCTAGCCCCTTATGTCTAGTCCCTAATGTCTAGCTCCTAATGTCTAGCCCCTAATGGCTAGCCCCTAATGTCTAGCCCCTAATGTCTAGCCCCTAATGTCTAGCCCCTGATGTCTAGCCCCTAATGTCTAGCCCCTAATGTCTAGCCCCTAATGTCTAGCCCCTAATGTCTAGCCCCTAATGTCTAGCCCCTAATGTCTAGCCCCTAATGTCTAGCCCCTAATGTCTAGCTCCTAATGTCTAGCTCCTAATGTCTAGCCCCTAATGTCTAGCTCCTAATGTCTAGCCCCTTATGTCTAGTCCCTAATGTCTAGCTCCTAATGTCTAGCCCCTAATGGCTAGCCCCTAATGTCTAGCCCCTAATGTCTAGCCCCTAATGTCTAGCCCCTAATGTCTAGCCCCTAATGTCTAGCCCTTAATGTCTAGCCCCTAATGTCTAGCCCCTAATGTCTAGCCCCTAATGGCTAGCCCCTTATGTCTAGTCCCTAATGTCTAGCTCCTAATGTCTAGCCCCTAATGGCTAGCCCCTAATGTCTAGCCCCTAATGTCTAGCCCCTAATGTCTAGCCCCTAATGTCTAGCCCCTAATGTCTAGCCCTTAATGTCTAGCCCCTAATGTCTAGCTCCTAATGTCTAGCCCCTAATGTCTAGCCCCTAATGTCTAGCCCTTAATGTCTAGCCCCTTATGTCTAGCCCCTTATGTCTAGCCCCTGTCGTTGACCGAAATCTCATCGCAATAAAAAAAAATTCAAGTCATTTAATTGAAATAAAAAGACAAGTCGTTTGATTGAGATAAAAAATCAAATAATGCCATATATTTTTTAACCTGCCGTAAAATTGTGTCGCATAAAAAAGTAACGTTAATTAAAAAAAATTCTTTCAACGAAAACACCTCTAGGTGTCATGTTACGTTCGGGATGTCATGTTAGGTTCGGGATGTCATGTTACTTTTAAAATGTCATGTCGTGTCTCTAGATATAAGTTTACGTCTTTAGATGTTAATTTTGTCATCTTGCCTCAGAAGATGTCATTTTATATTGCTATCTTATTTCACGTCATATTTGGATGTCATCTTCATCCCCAAAAAATCAGATTACTTCACAAGATCAAAGAATTGTTTTTTTAAGCTAAAACTCTAGCAACATATAGAATCCCAAATCTGCCTATAATCTGCCTCGTGAGTCAACAAGATGCCCTTAATCTGCCCCCTGTCCCAAATCTTCTTCTGTTTCAAACACTGGTATCAACTTGACAGATGAAGTAGAGTTTTTGTCACCGCGGCTTGTGAATGGGTGGGATAGGGTGGTCAGTTCACACTTGATTTCCTCAACGTTAGGTACCCATTAGAGCTGGGTGAACTCTGTGTTGTTGTACGGTCCAGGATTTAAACTCGAGACTTTCGGTCTAGCAGCCTGTGCGCTATACTTCTGTACTGGAACTATCATAAGCTCTGTAGGTTTTAAGTCTTCCCTGTGTGCTATACGTTTTTTTTAAACTCTACCCCAACTTTTCTCAAGCCTAAGAGAATATCACGTGACTTTCTACATGTGGATGTTCTGCTCCACAACATCCAGAATATAGCGACCTGCAGACAAATATAAAATACAAATGTAATATGATACAATATGTTATACGAAAAATTGATTGTACACAATGAAAGCAAACACATAGTACAACATATGAGCCAACATCACAACATCATATGAGCCAACTTCACAACATCATTTGAGCCCATATAATAGGAGCCAACATCTCAACATCATTTGAGCCAATTTCACAACATCATTTGAGCCAACATCATAGGGGCCAGCATCACAACATCATTTGAGCCAATTCCACAACATCATTTGAGCCAACATCTTAGGTGCCAAAATCACAACATATTTTGAGCCAATTTCACAACACCATATGAGCAAAATCACAACATCATTTGAGCCAACATCACAACATCATTAGAGCCAACATCATAGGGGCCAACACCACACCATCGAATGAGCCAACTTCACAACATCATTTGAGTCAATTCCACAACATCATTTGAGCCAACATCTTAGGTGCCAAAATCACAACATATTTTGAGCCAATTTCACAACACCATATGAGCAAAATCACAACATCATTTGAGCCAACATCACAACATCATTAGAGCCAACATCATAGGGGCCAACACCACACCATCGAATGAGCCAACTTCACAACATCATTTGAGCCAACATCTTAGGGGCCAAAATCACAACATATTTTGAGCCAATTTCACAACATCATATGAGCGAAATCACAACATCATTTGAGCCAACATCACAACATCATTAGGGCCAACATCATAGGAGCCAACACCACACCATCGAATGAGCCAACTTCACAACATCATTTGAGCCAATTTCACAACATCATTTGAGCCAACATCACAACATCATTAGGGCCAACATCATAGGAGCCAACACCACACCATCGAATGAGCCAACTTATGCCACCTCTCCCGATGGCATCCAACCGACTTTTGATTTTTGATAAGCTCCTTATTTGATATTTGATCGTTTTCCCCACTTTGTAATGATCCAACTCTAACTGACCGTTACTTGTTTTATTTTTCCACCCTACCACTCACCACAACTCCCCCCCCCCCACGCCACTCACACCAAATCCACCCGACTTCACGCACTCCATCCTGTTTGACCTCCGACCCCACCTTTCATCATTCACTCCTCGCCCAAAAAATTTCTCCCATTCCATGAAACATCTTTTGCCCTTTCCGCGCCATTAATCTCAACTTGATCAATGACGACGATCTTTGAACAGACCCCCCCCCCCCCGCCCCACCCACGGGACTCTGCCGTGCACGCTGACTTAATCCAGCCAACACAAATAAATATCCCCTCCCCAATCAAAACAATTAGTCAAGAATTTTAATTGTTTATTTCTTACCTTCATCCCCTTTCCCCCCATCTCTAAGGACTTTCGATTCTCTCTCAACTCAACTGATGTAAAGATAGTGCCTCTACTCTACTTCTCACTACACCCCTCGCCTTCTTTCTCCCCCACCCCAGTTCCCAGCGCTGGTGGCCAGTGACGTCACTGGGCAGACGTGAGAACAAGCCCTACACGTCTCAGCAGACGAGACTTAAGCACCGTCCACCTGCCTGTGGTAACCCATGCATGTTTATGTGTGCAACTTGCGTCCCGGTACCAACACCTTATCTATTTCATATTTAACAGGAAGTACATCGACACGACATGCGCAGTCAATAACTTTCTCGGCCGCTGTGTGCCTGCTGGATCTAAACTTGGAGAGAGCATCCGGTTTTGTTTCACGTGCTTTCAGACGCGCGTGAATTTGTAATGAACGTTTTATCTGTGAATTTGTGCTCGTTTGTTTTTGCTACGGGCAGTGAGTGGAGCGGGTTACGTCATGCAGAGAGACAGGCTCACTTCAGTTACCCGAAAAGTTATTGTGATTTTATTCTGTGGGGTTTTCTGTACTGTGGTGTCGAGAGTTCAAGGAGTTTTGGACGAGAGAGGTAAATATAGCTCACATTGTTTACACATCAATGTTTGTATCATTCAATTATCAGTTTACGTATATTTCACACATCACTTACAAACCTATGTAAACATACGTGAATGTACACATTAATGTACACATTACTAATCAATGAACACATCACTCATCAATGAACACATCACGCATCAATGAACACATTACTCACCAATGAACACATCACTCACCAATGAACACATCACTCATCAATGAACACATTACTCACCAATGAACACATCACTCACCAATGAACACATCACTCACTAATGTACACATCACTCACTAATGTACACATCATTCATCAATATACACCTCACTCATCAATGTACACCTCACTCATCAATGTACACATCACTCATTAATGTACACATCACTCATCAATGTATACATCACTCATCAATGAACACATCACTCATCAATAAACACATCACTCATCGTTGCACACATCACTCATCAATGAACACACCACTAATCAATGTACACATCACTCATCAATGTACATATCACTCATCAATGTACACACCACTCATCAATGTACATATCACTCATTAATGAACACATCACTCATTAATGTACACATCACTCATTAATGTCCACATCACTCATCAATGAACACATCACTCATTAATGTACACATCATTCACAAATTAACGTTCACTTCTCTGTCAATGTAAACTTCACACTAAAGTGTGAACCCAGTAAACAAACATCTCTTCCATTTAAAAGTTCAAATAATGTTCACATCACACACATCAATGTACACTTCATATCACACACACCAATTTTAACATCACATGCATCAATATACACACAATATATACACAATACACATCACACACATCACTACCATATCACTGTTCACATCACACATACATTAATGTACACGCTACACAGTTCATACAAACATCAATGTTCACATCCTACATCAATGTTTTTTTCTTGCATCATATTTGAAATTTCATATTTAAACGTCAAATCGCAAATGTCATTTGTCATTTGTCATTTTTCCATTTTGTTCTTCTATCTTAAGCTTGCTGCACTACTTAATCACAAAATTACCAACCAACATATATCATACTTGTATTACCATCTAACATATGTCATACATGCGTGTGTTACCATCCAACATCTGTCACACATGTGTGTCTTACCATCCAACATCTGTCACACATGTGTGTCTTACCATCCAACATCTGTCACACATGTGTGTCTAACCATTCAACATATGTCATAAATGTGTGTTACCACAATATGATTAAAATTCAACCAGCTCAATTTGCTGTGCCATACCAATAACCACAGATGGTGATTTACTTTATCTTTACTTTAATCTATCTTGCCAATTACTTGAGCACTAAACTTGACACTAACACGAATTTATGTATTGACAGGGGCATTAATAGAATGAGAAAATACAACGATTGATTATCTGTTCTCGATTGTTTAATTAACTCTGCTACCATTGAGTGGACGACCAGTTTGCTTTAGCAATACACCCCTTTTAGATAGATGGATCTAATTTTATTTCCACTACCTACACATATCTAATGTTACCTACCTATATATATATATATATATATATATATATATATATATATATATATATATATATATATATATATATATATATATATATATATATATATATATATATATATATATATATACAAAAATGTCTAATATTAACTCCCCTTTTATATTTCTTATATCACATCCTTTATAACTATTCCTAATGTTTCTAACTTCCTAATTTCTAACATATTCCTTTCATATAATTATAATTTCTAATATGACCTCCCCTTATATATATATTTGTAATATTACCTCTCCTCATATATTTCTAATATTACCTCCCTGTATATAGTTCTAATATTACCTCCCTCTATGTAGATACTTCCAATACTACCTCCCCTAAAAATAGACTGGCATCTCTTCGTCAATACAGTCGTCCAACAGAGGGCACTATATCCTGACGTCATTGTTTGACACTGATGCGCAATGACTCTCTGGTTTTAGACTCGGCGCGCAGCTGTACCCCCACAAGCCAAACACCGCGTTGTTGGGTAAACACAGCTCTGGGAGCCGGGCTTCTAGAGAATTCTGCTCGATGGACGTCAGCCCCCAAGCCGGTGTTTACCTGCAAGACACGTGACTAAAATAACAGAACCTATATTTGAATAAACATGGCGGAAGTTGAGGGGGCTTTGCGCATGTGCGGGGGAATAGGGGCAGGAGGGAAGTGGTTTTTGGTGAATGGTGGGGTTTTTTGTGATGAGCGATTCATGTTGGAGGTTTGAATGGTGGTTCGTTGGTGAATTGTGGCTTTTATACGGTGAGTGTTTGGTGTTGAAGTGCTGAATGATGGTTGTCTAAATGATGGTTGTCTAAATGATGGTTGTTTAAATGATGGTTGTCTAAATGATGGTTGTCTAAATGATGGTTGTCTAAATGATGATTGTTTAAATGATGGTTGTCTAAATGATGGTTATCTAAATGATGGTTGTCTAAATGATGGTTGTTTAAATGATGGTTGTTTAAATGATGGTTGTCTAAATGATGGTTTTCTAAATGATGGTTGTCTAAATGATGATTGTTTAAATGATGGTTGTCTAAATGATGGTTGTCTAAATGATGGTTGTCTAAATGATGGTTGTTTAAATGATGGTTGTCTAAATGATGGTTGTCTAAATGATGGTTGTCTAAATGATGGTTATTTGGGGCCTAAAGGTTTGTCTGAATAATTGCTGTCTGAATGATGGTTTTGTAAGTGATTAGTTGATCCAGAATTGATTATTTTCTAATTAAACAATTCTCCAACTTATATTTCCTGTAATCAGGAGGTCGTCGTCTATTAACCTCCACCCCACCCTGAGGTTTTATTTCATCTTTGACTGCCCCACCCCAGGGGATCGCTATCTAATGTCGCATGACCTTCTTTACAAAGAGACGTTGGTTTATAAACATTATGCATCATCTCTCCACCATAAAACGGAATAAACCGTATTCCCCCTGTTACTGCTGCACTATTTTATAGACCAATGTCTTTATGAATAACCTACTGAACTATCAATAACTTTATTGTAGTACTGATACAGCTTTTCGTTCTTTGCTGGAGTTTTAAACACGATCCTAGGACGCTGTCTAATATTATCTAACTGTTTAGTAGAGGTGTCCATGGGGTACCAGAAGAGTGCATCACAGGGATGTAATTCTATAGTACAATTAAGTACTTCAGTACTTGAGTACAACATGTAATAATAAAATACAACTTCGAATGGCAGTACTATAGTAATATGGTAGGGAGCCATTGGTGTATAGTACTGTGTGATGATGTTTTAGTATATAGCACAGTAGCGATACTTCAGTGCATATTAAAGAAGTGCTGCAGTATAGTATAGTATTGTAGTATTTTGGAGCAGAACATAGAAGAGTATGGTTGTAATGTAGTACAATTATACAACACACACTCGAGTAGATGGTTACTCTATTGTAGTATTAGTATTGAAGTACAGCTTACAACATACCAGTTCTCTCATGAGAGTGTTGGACTAGGCTTAAAGCCAACATTCACTTCAACACTTCTGTGCGGGGAGATCAATTCAGACCACGCCCCCACAATGAAATCGCCTGAGTTGCCCTTCCATGCTGGACAAAACAGGACAACTTTAATTTAAAACGTTAGATCTAAAAAATCTCCTAAAAAATCTGAACAAAGATCTCGCGAACAATCGTCACGTAACGTCACTCGTGACGGGCAGGGCATGTAGACAACGAGGGCTGATATGATCTCTGATCTGCTCGCGACATTTGAGAGGACATTCCCTGAGGACATTCTAAAGACGACATTCTCCTCCCCAGTTCTGATGTCAATCACTGACTCTTGTCGAGGACATTTTTGTCCAGTTCAATCAATCGTCTGCTGTCATTTCCTGCTCATTTGCTAGATCTGCTCTCCTGTCAACACCATTGTGTCTAGATCTGCTCTCCTGTCAACACCATTGTGTCTAGATCTGCTCTCCTGTCAACACCATTGTGTCTAGATCTGCTCTCCTGTCAACACCATTGTGTCTAGATCTGCTCTCCTGTCAACACCATTGTGACTAGATCTGCTCTCCTGTCAACACCATCGTGTCTAGATCTGCTCTTCTGTCAATAGTGTCTAGATCTGCTCTCCTGTCAATAGTGTCTAGATCTGCTCTCCTGTCAATAGTGTCTAGATCTGCTCTCCTGTCAATACCATTGTGTCTAGATCTGCTCTCCTGTCAACACCATTGTGTCTAGATTTGCTCTCCTGTCAACACCATTGTGTCTAGATCTGCTCTCCTGTCAATAGTGTCTAGATCTGCTCTCCTGTCAATAGTGTCTAGATCTGCTCTCCTGTCAATAGTGTCTAGATCTGCTCTCCTGTCAATACCATTGTGTCTAGATCTGCTCTCCTGTCAACACCATTGTGTCTAGATCTGCTCTCCTGTCAACACCATTGTGTCTAGATCTGCTCTCCTTTCAACACCATAGTGTCTAGATCTGCTCTCCCGTCAATACCAATGTGTCTAGATCTTCTTTTTTTTATTCAATAAGCAACCCATAGTAGTCATTAGACAACCACACCCCACAACCACAGTGTGTCACCACAATACCTAACTGTGTCACCACAAACTGTGTCACCACAATACCAAACTGTATCACCACAATACCTAACTGTGTCACCACAATACCTAACTGTGTCACCACAATACCTAACTGTGTCACCACAATACCTAACTGTATCACCACAAACTGTATCACCACAATACCTAACTGTGTCACCACAATACCTAACTGTGTCACCACAATACCAAACTGTATCACCACAAACTGTATCACCACAATACCTAACTGTGTCACCACAATACCAAACTGTGTCACCACAATACCTAACTGTGTCACCACAATACCAAACTGTATCACCACAATACCTAACTGTATCACCACAAACTGTGT